GGTAGAGGAGCCAAATGGCTGGCTCGCTGCTGCCAACTAGTGGTCAGAGGCTGAACTACAACATAAAAATGAACAGTTGGCAGGAAGGTTGACATTTTAAAACTTAATAAAAAATTGATACAGGACTTTAGAATATCGATACAGAATCGGAAAATGAAATATCGCGATATTTCAGTGTATCGATATTTTCTTACACCCCTAATACTTGTACTTTTACTCAAGTATCACTTTGTGGTACTTTATACAACACTGGCTATGCCCATTTCAATAAGAGCTCCTTAAAATCCAAGTGTTKGATGTGTAAGTAAGTAAGTAAGTAAACTTTATTTCTATAGCACCTTTCACAGACAACAAACATCACAAAGTGCTTCACAGAAAGKAAAAATAATTAAAAACAATAAAACAGATCACAGATATAAAAACAACAATTAAAACACAATAAAAAGCACTTAACTAAAAGTGTGATTACCTGCAATGATTCCATCCATTTGCTCTAAAGCTGCTGCCAACATCTCACTGGCATCTGACATCATCTTCTGCTAGATAAAGCTGAAAAGAAGAAAAGGAGGTAGGTTTTAAAAAGGATTTTAAAAAAACATGAGAAAATAATCCATTAAAGATTTGTTCAGAGTTTTGCGAAGAGTCAACTCTCAACCAGCGACTTTATTTGCCAGATGAGTCATGAGTTAGATGATTTATTGAAAACTGGATGAGTGGAAACCTTACAAAACTTTGAAGTACTACACAAACCGATGAGGGCAAAAAAAAACCTTTCACAAGTTGTTAACAATAAAATCTCGGGATAATTAGAGGGACTGAAAACTCAACAAAAGCTTCTAAAATGACAACGTGGTGGGACTACTTCATCAGCTATTCTAATTAAAAACTTACAACCACAGGAACAATTATAGCTCCTACAGAGGTCTGCCCACAACATCCTGACATGTATATCTAACCTCCTCAGCCGACACAATAATCAGTCAATAACAGTGTACACACATGTGAGGTCTCAAAGTTGACTGTGAGACTGGAACTCGGTCAGAGGGATGTTTTTGCCCACTACATGTGATGAAAAACAGGAAAGACGAGCCACTTCCTACAAGTAGGTCAAATAACGAGCAAATTGGTCACATCGTGTCCTAGGAACTGTGATCCTCAAGTGCAGGAAAAAGCAAAGCCTTAAAAACAAACAACATTTTGAAAACTTGCTGAGCCATCCATTTCTGCAAAGCAAGATGGAATTTTTTAGAAAAGAAAACTTCAGGATTTTAAAAAGGGGGTATTATGTATTTTCTAGGTACATAGTTCAATTCCATACCACAATCTAGTACCTTCAGTTGTTATGAAAATGCTGTTTATAAGAAAAATTGAGGGTGCACCAATTGAGGTTTTCGGGCTGATCACTAATCTTTAAAAAGCCTAACCTGCTGATTCTGATTTCGGTCGATACCATTTTTTTTTTTCAATAACTGACACATAAGGTCACATTAATGCTCCAATCTTATTTTATTAGAAAACACGGCATTGTTTTAAGGTTATTGTTCAAACTTTGTTTTTATTGGACATGAGATAGTGCTCACGGCTGAGCAAAAGGGCACAGTGGTCGATTTTCAGATCCTTTCGTAGGTAGATAAGATCGATGGARAAGATGAGCTTCTCATCTCAGTATCAGCTGATCTCTGAAATCTGTTGCACCAGACCAGAGTCTATCTAAATGCATTGAAACTGGCCTCTGTCTCTTTAAGAATGRCCTACCTTTTCAGACACTCCCACTTCAGTACGTCTTCACAACAATACTTCGATGTAAGGGTGCTCTGTGGGGTGGAAGCTCAGCTGCAGACTGAGCTCCAGGGAGGAGCTTTGTGTTAATAGGCGGAGCTTTGTAGTGTTTAGGCAGCTCCACATGGCTACAACAGGAGATTCAAGAATTATCACTATGGTATAACACTATGGTTATGTTTTTGATGAGGAAATGACTATATCATAACATAAAGCTCAAAAATGTATTTTGTATAATATCCCTCTTTAAATTGTTTCAGTTGCCACTATACTACAAATATACCAGAACAAATAGAATACAAAATATAAACAAGTAAAATACAAGAAAATATGATTACACATTACAGCATAAGGTCCCTTTCTTCCTCTCCAAATGACTGCTGCACCAAATTAACCCTGCAGTCTGTGTAGCATCATTTAACTGCCTAAGAGACCAAAAACAAAGCGATCTTCAGAACTTATTACCCAGCAGCCCTTATTTCCTGTGCTCAGGCAGTAATGGACGCTCCTATCAGGAATAACAGCAGTACTCTCCCGAGGGGTCTTAGGCCTTGTAGTGCTGGCARGTTCAGCATCTTAAACTTCCATAACAAACTCGTACAGTCTCTCAACACTCTGTTACTACTAACCACTTATCATTTCCAACAAAATTTGATTTGAAAGAAAACAGTGTACAGTATGCAGAGAGCCAAGAGCTAACAACAGAAAGTCTATTATTTTTTTAAACGTCCCATGGTGCAGGAGAGGGGAAGGGGGGTCAGGACTACAGGCTCTGCTTCATTTCCTCCCTCTCAGGGGTCACAGTGTGGCACCCCACGCTGTAAGAAATGAGCATAAAGAGAGTAATTATACCAATGGCCTCAGCATGTGAACTGAGGTTTGTTGTTAAAACTAGGCTTAATTGCTTCATTTCCTTGTTTTAAACACAGCCGGGGAAAAAAAACGGGGTTCAGTCTTATCTAAAAATGTTATACAGTGCTTGAAATTTAATGTATTCTAGCAAAAGCCAATAACTGAAAACACAACCTGGTTTTTTTTATTCAACTTCAAAGATCATCCGGGGACTCAAGTTTAAAGAGGACCACAGATCTACATCCTACCGACATTTTTACCTCTAAAGATATTTCCGTCATTTGATGAAAATCTTTATTATTCTCACCAGGACACAAACATGCTTTTAGTCAGCTGCCTCAACAAATGAAAGAAACCCAGGGTGATGCTTTTCATTTGTAGAGAATTGAACTATTGCTGCCACGTGAATGCTGAAGACAGTTAATTTAATAAACAAAAAGAAACAAGGACATAAACAAGATGAAAACATTTTTTATAAAATGAAAAWCGGTGTGGAGGCAAAATCGGGGCCATTTTTTGATAAAAGCTACTTCTAAATTGTTTTTATTAGTTTCATGAGAAATCCCCTTCAGCGCTGTACAAACAGGGTTTTAATAACCCACATGCAAGTCATTACGGCTATTTTGGGTTCATTTCCCAAAAACTAGATTGAATGAGGGCTTATCTTGCACCAGAACATGGCACTTTATGTAAAACAGCCTGTTTATTTCTCAAGTTTATTTTAATGCTGAAATGTTTCCATTATGATGATGATGATTAGATCATCCATGAAGAATTTTCAGCTTAAACCTTAAGAGAAATGCCCACAAATGAGAGCCCGCCACTTCAGTCCTGCAAACAAGTGTCGGTGTGGTGTAGTTATGATTAATGACAGTTAAAGTGACCCGCAGAGAGTTGGGGGAGTGTGCACCGCTCTCAACAAACATTCCTGAGCAGGTTAGTCTCCTGAAAACATAACATAATGCCTGGCACCGACATCCCTGCTGACCCTTTTCACCCTCTTCCTTCCAKTCAACTTTCCCCCAACAATTCTAAACACTGAACAGAAACAGCTCCAGCAAGCAGCTAGTGAAATATTGTGTTTTTTTTTTCAAACAAGTAATAAATGACAAAAAAACAGTGATTCTTCTGACAATATCTGCATAACAGGGCRACAAATACCTTTCCTTCTCTGTGACATAAGACTATTGTTGCTCATTGTTTGTTCAGACTCCATCACACACAGCCTGCTGCTCCTGAAAATACACCCTGAGACATCACATGTGGATTCTTTCCTGTAAACAGATCAAACAAATGCAATTTCTTTTTTTTCCCTGCTCTGGGTATCTTGTGGCCACAGAAACAAACTTGTTTGGACCAGACTGTCAGAGATGCTGCCTGAGATTAAACTCCATCAGAACAAGTTTGTGCAACAAGCATCAGAAAGAAGCGATGCAGACACTGCGCCTTTAATCACAAAAGGGTGACAAAGTGTCAAAAAAGGATTTAAAGAATCTCAAAAAAACAGTGTTATAATTTAAAATAAAAGCAACTGAGTTAAATGTGGCAGGAATGAAACAAAGAGGAGTTCTGTCTCAGTTGAGCACGCCTGGTCACGATCTCAGCATGACTGTCTGACTGTCAAACATTATATTAACATTAGTGTTTTTATACCAACATCAGTGTTTTCCCAGACTTTTACCTGACAGTACATTCGCTCTACACAAAACATTTTTATAACATCTGTTTTAAATATATTCTTGCTATAAAAACACTTTCAATACCTAAAATCCTGACCTGCATCCTAAATCAAAAGAATAGAAATCACAAATCACTTTGCACTCAAAAGTCAACCCAGTTTGTCAAAATATGAATATGAAAATCCATTTAATTCAAAAATAATATTCAATTTTATAATTACAAAAAAAAAGTCTAATCAGGAAAGTCAACTATGGCTTCCCTTTAGTCAAGTTGCGGTTTTAACATCAACCAGATGTGAAAGAGTGAAAGAGGTATGAAGGGGGAGGTTTTTTTTTCTTTTTTAAAGGAGGTTGCGGGGGGGGGTTCGGGCTGGGATGATTTGACCAGACACAAAGGCTGTTTTTTTTGTAACACACACTCCTTCACCAGTCTTCCTTCAATAACCTACTTCCAGCTGTGGTGCAGATGTGCATTTTCACTATATTGGCTCGTTGCAACAGAGACAGTATAAGTTGTAGTAAAGGTGACCCCTTTAAAAACTGCAGTGAGAGTTCAGATGTGGGCATGTTGTAGTACATCTCATTTATTTGTTGTCTATTAAATRGAAGAATAACTGCATAAACCTGTACACAGTTGTTCATCACATCAACAAGTGACAGCATTATTAAAATGTTATATTATAAAGCTGATACCATGCTGTGATTATAATCTCTTGGCTGTCTGCCCTCCAGAATATGAAAGACAACACCTTTCCTTCTGTATCAGGCTGCAACAGATGTAAATGCCACAACATTGGGTGATGAGTGGACATATTTAAAGCTTTCAGCATTAGAGTTTGGTTGTAATCAGCTTTTGAAAGCTTAGTCAATTATAACAAAGAAAAACTGACAACTTGCAGTTTATCAGTTATAATGTAGTCCTTGTGCCTATTCTGCCTAATTTACTCTAAACTGAAAAAACAAATAGCGTGTTCTATTCAAAATAGGGATGCAAACAATTAATCGACTTATGGTTAATTGTRGAATAATAGTTTATTAGATTAAAATTTCTTCCATTCGATTAATTGAAAACATCCATWTAAACCTTATTCCAGTGTAGTTTTGCCTTCATCCAGTAGAGGGCACCGCTGTTCTCTCAGCCTGTACTATCTACCCCGGCCCTACGTTGAGCTGAGCAGAGAACACCGGCCYGCATCATAATTACACGCAAATCTTGTTTAGCTTTATTTGCGACACCAC